ATCTCAGCAGACACCCACGTAACAGGGATTTTTACCCCCCAGCTCCAGAGTCAAAGGTGTCAGATGTTTCGCTGCAGCAGTCATGATGATCTTTCCTACATGGTTATTCCCTGTAGAGGTATGGCAACATTTGGGTCAAGAGAGATATACAGACACCCACACCTCCCATCCAGCATCAGGGGCCACAATTGTGTGTTCAGAAGACACCTGTGTTGTTTTTTGTCTAACATTCCTCCATGCAGATCAAAATTCCACATAGGTTGTTCAAAAAATATCCACGAAATGTTAATAAGAGTTGGCAAGGCAACACTGCCTAGGCAGTTTGTATATAATGTAAATATATTTTCAGATTTAGAAAGAATTTGAAAGATACTTATATTTTAAAAAAGATCAGAGCATGACAGCCTGTGATATCTTTTTTGAATAAAGAAAAATGTTGTGGGTTAGGTGGAAAAACAGATAAAATACAAATATTTAATGTATTGACCACTGCAAAAATTTGAATTACATAAATTTAAATCTACACAAATTCCTATCATTCTTTGGTAAAAAAAAAAAAAAACTCAATACTGCACTGTAAGATTCAATAAGAATTAATTCAAAAAAAGTAACAAGGAATAATTATTCATGAAAATTTGTGAAAGTACAGGAATTTCCAGGTGTATTACTTCTCCAGCTATTCAAGTCTTTTTTTTTTAGATTTTTTTAATCTTGCCTTTTTATTCTTTTTTATCCATAACTCAAGGTGGCAAACAAGCCTAGTACTCCTTCTTCCTCCTATTTTTCCCACCCAATGACCTGTGAGAAGAGTTGGGCTGAGGGAACGGGACTGGCCCAAAGTCACCCGGCCGCCGTTCACGAAGGACTCACAGTCTCCGGGATTCTAGCCCGGAGCTTTAACCACTAGACCAAGCTGGTTCTCGACTCTTGGACTGCTGTTACTTTTGGGATGATTTCCCTAACTCACTCAGAATCTTTCTTCTTGTAGCCTTTCTCCTACTTACAGTGTGACAACTCATCTTTTCCTCCACTTGTGGGCAAGACCTGCAATCTGGAAGCTGCCACTAACTTGCCATGAACTCAGACGCACTGCAGTAGACGTGAGACAGCTACTGAACGAAGACACATGGCCAACTGCTGCTATTATTAACAATTTGCTCTTCTAGAAAGGCATTGTAGTAGCTATAGAGAGAAATCCTACTGCAGATGGGGTGTCTGTGTGTGTGTGCTTCTGTGCTAATGTGTGATCTTAGGTAAATTACCCGAACCTTTCAGTTTCAATAGTTGAATAGTGGCTTACCTGAACAGATTTCTGTGCAGACATTAATGATCAATTTTTTAAAAAAACAATACTGTTGAAAAGAATAATCAAGAAGAGAAAATCACCTGTATAGAAGATATAATCAAACTTATTTTCCAGTAATTTTCCTGTT